TTAACAGGAACCAGCACAGGAGTGACTGGGTCTGGGGCTGTGTTGGGATGATGACAAGGTTTTGGGGCTGGATTCTGGCAGGATTTGTGGCCCCCTGAGGGACCCACGCTGGAGCTGCCTCTTCCCAAAGGACTGACTCCATGGCAAGGGCTCAGCTGGTGCCAAATGGGACAGACCCAGCTGGGGGGAGCTGGGAGAGCCGTCCCCCACTGGGGCAGGGGCTGGGGGTGAGCAGGAAGGAGCAGTGAGCACAGTGAACTCACTGCAGCCCCATTCCCTGTCCCCCTGCCCAATGCCATCAGCACACAGGTCACTCTGCCTAAAAACCACCCCTAACTCCCTGTGGGAGCTCCCAGTGCCCCTGCCAGCCTTCCCCATCTGCTCCAACTGCCTCTGAGCCGTAAGGGCTCTAACAGAACTGCACTTGTGATCTGATTTATGATTGTTTTCCTTCTCAGCCAGCTCTGCCACCCCCAGCAACATCTGCCCGACAGATGCCAGAGCCCGAGCTGAGGGGGATAAGCAGGGCCAGATGGCAGCACTGACCTACAATCTCGATGAGCAGGGCAAGGGTGACCCCATCCCGCAGGTCCTGCCTCAGGTCCTGCACTGGCCTCACCCCCGGCTTCTTCTTCAGCTGGGAATTCACCCAGGCCACATAGGCCTGCAGCTGTTGCTGAAACAGAAACCAGAACGTTTGCATTGCAGGGATTTCGCTTTTCTCCCTGGTTTTCACAGCCGTCAGCCCCTGCCCTGGGGAGCACAGAGCAGAGCTGTCACCCCAGAGCCTGGCTGCCAGCCCTGCCTGCTGGGGCAGCTCAGGGGCCGAGGAGAGAGCAGGACAGGGGTCCTGGCTGGGCACAGCTGAGCCCAGAGCTCTGCACTGCNTAGAAGGGAACAGCAGCTACCTGATGGGGCAGGAGAATACATCAAATATTCCATCTCCCTTGAAGGGAGGGATGGGAGCAGGCAGCAGCATGTGGCACTCCTGCGCTCCCTGCTCAAGAGCCAAGCTCCTGTGGCATTATCCATGCAGTGCTGCTGCCAAGAGCAGATTTCTCCATCCCCCTGGCAGGCTGGCCTCCAAAGCACACTGCTGACATCATGTGGAGGCACCGCTCCAGCACTGCCTCCCCGGGAGCCCCACGCTCCTCCAAAACTCTATTTATAAACACGCCCTCAATGACACGCAGCGCAATTGGGGGATAAACACAAAACTCTTGTGTTTTTCTCCTCTGTTGGGCAAAGCAACCTTAATTTCCAGGTACGCGGAGAATTATTGGTGCTGTGGAGTGTGAAAATTGGCCTGAGAAACGCCGGGGGAACGTCGTGCCTGCTGAGAGGCTGTCAGTGGCAATCTGTCCTTGGCAAATGAGCTCCTGACTCCCTCACGAACGGGAGGGAGGCACTGGGGAACAGCCCAGGCAGGGAAGGACACGGAAAATCAGAGTGGGAGGCTCTGAGGCTGCAGCTCCCCACGAGCAGCGCTGCCCTGGAATCTGCTCCAGACGAGAGGAACTGGAGCACAGCTCCATTTCCACAGGGAGTGCAGTTGTTCAGTGACTCGGCTCTGGCTCTTCCGAGTGGTTTCTGGTTCTCTGGGGGAAAGGGAGCGGCTTCCCTTTACTACAGAGCTCTGCATGCTGGATCAGCTCCCTCACTGGGGCAATTCACCTTTTATAGCTGCATTTTCTCACAGAAAACTGCTCTATGTTGATTCCTGAGCTTTCACCCTCCGGACCAGCCAGGGGTGCCCTTTTCCACCAGAACTGAGCGGATTTTGGTGAGGAAAACAGGCACTTGAGGCAATGTCAGGCACAGGAGACACCTTGGCAATGAAATT